GTAATAGTGAAGAATACTGACGAATATGACACAGGCTTACGTGTTGACTGACAGAAGCCGGTCATCCTGATAGTCTGAATCTTGCAATTGTTCACCTATAACATTGGCTTAATTTACTGGCAAACATTCGACATGGACTCGGCCCACAACAAGTCTTGTGTTGCTATGCCCTGTTCGTGTTTGTTGTCAAGACTGGCGGTTACTACAGAATTCCATCTGGGATCTTAGAGACATGTACGGAGCCTCATGGATTGTATGTTAACGTTATCAACTATACAGGCTTTAGAGTGGCCAAAGCTAAGTGGAGTTGATGATTAGTCATCTTGAAGCGATTGTAGGGATAGATACAGTCTATCAGGAGGACATAATGTAGTTTCTTGACGCAGAAAAACTGAAAAATGCGACTACCGCTCTATTCCTACGTGAAAGTGGGCAATAAAATTCTAACTTCCTGATTGTATCCCTTTTGTAATAGCAAACTTTGCCCGACATTTGAGCATATCCTATCGGATGCGCGAGGACTCGAACTGAGGGTCACCACGAAAATGTAATGATGCTGCGGGAGAAGGGCCAACTCGAGTCTTCTCTACAACAAAGAGGAAATGTCACAAGCCAAACGATACCAACTCTCTGAGAGCACCTGCCTTAATTGACTTTAGGTGGTTTCATTTAAGTAATTTAAATTATGTTCACGAATGCATCTTCTCTGGGGCCAAATTTGACGAGTTTGACACTGAAAAAGTCATCCCACAACAAGCTTCTCGGTTCATTTACAAACGGTACATGTTGACCGGACTGAGTGAAGTGGCATCCGGCCAGAAAAGGATAAGTTTACAAACGAAGTTAGTTGTAATAAGCCATCTCGTCAATATGAGCGGAAAAAATTTCTTTATTAGGGTCTCCGTTTTGCCCCACACCTTGAGAAATCATCTAAAAGTGATCATAATAGTAGAATTGCTAGGTTTAGCTTTCTCTTCCTCTCATTGTCAACAAAGAATGAGCTAGCCTTAGTTCAGAAAATGCTGTCAAAAAATAACGAGGAATCATAGAAGAGACTTCCTAAACGACAATGGAGAACAATAAATAGAGCAATTGCCATCTTAGCTTATCATAATAAGGGAGATGACCTTATTAACCTACAGGAAAGAACAAGACAATGAAAACAGAGAAGAGATGGATAATGTCTCTCCGGGCTTCATCAAAGAATTCGCAAATCCCTGTCTACTACCTACAGAAAATTAGGCAAATGTCTACTTAAGCTAATGTTTCAGAAAATAATCTGGACGAAGAAGGCTCAAAATGACGAGTCAAGCTCACTTTGGTGTAAAGGGAACAAACGATATTGTAGAAATGGGTTGACCTCGTTTTCTCTACCTGAGCTTGTTTTCAAGAAGACTTAGTCAGATGCCCTTTTTTCGAAATGCTCTATCATGCTAGTTATCATAATTCTCAGCATCAGACCGCGGACTTGGTACATTCCCAGACATTTCACCGGCACCGTCAGTGAGTCTTGCCATTCTCTGCACCAGCTTCAGCTACAGCGCATCGAAGAGACAAGTGAATTCAATCCCTTGACCAGTTTTCTGTCGAAACGGTTGTGCCATCACTCCTCGC